CGATGAGGGGATGACTGTGGAGGGAAGGATTACCCACTGCTTCTTCTAAAACTGTGCAAAGAGTGAACAGAAAGCAGATACAAAGCAAATTAAAGGAGATGCATCCTGTAACACTAATTAAGCTCTGGTATTCCTTGCCATTGTTACTGGGGATGCTAAAATTTTGTAAAGGCTCTAGGGAAGACTGGACAAATTTATGGGCAGGAAATTAATGTAGGATTGTACATTCTCATGCATACAAAAATAATAACTCTCTAGGAGGCTTCCAAGCTTTATATTCCCAGAGGCTGGGCAAATACTTGGGGAAGGACACGCTTACTCTATCCCTACTCCCCTTCCTAAGCACTTACTTTGAGCTACATCTGGAAGCAGGATACTAGTGGGTAGAGGGGGCTGGTAGACCTTTGATCTGATCCTGTACAAATCTTCTGTCACCCTGAAAACTCAGCTTCTGAGCTTGCTAACATAGTTTTCTAAGGACTTTCCCAGGACAGTAACTGTAAACATAGATATGTGTACATTCTTTCTGTTACACGTCTTGTAATGGGCATCTCTCATGGCCAGTGCAGTGAGAAAGTGTTATCCTGACCATCCAATCCCTGGCCGTGGTAAGAAGCCTATAAATCCTGGGAGGAAAAATAAACTCTGCTCTTTCTTGCACCACACCTCAACCTGTGTCCGCGTTATCTATTGATCTTCAGCGGTAACACTCTTCTAATGTTTTTATGATCTCATTTATTATTAAAAAGAAAAGAAAGGAGCTTGTCTTTCTGTGACACTGAAGTGACTAAAAAATCAAAGAGAGAGACTTGAGAAGTTTAAATAAAAAATTCTGGTATCTGCAAAACACTGAAAAAAAAAAGGTCATACTCATAAGCTAAATTGTTTCCCTACTCAAATATTTTATGATGCATAATGTGAAATATGGCAAAGTCAGCTCAGGAGTTTACGAGAACTATCTGTTCTGAAAAGGAAGAAATTAAAACGACATACAATAGACTTCCTGCTGGGAAGGTGAGAGGGAAGGGAACTCAGCATCCCAAAGGATGCACTGGTAAAAACCCCAAACCAAATCAAGAGATGTGAGTCATCAAAGCTACAATGTTATTGGAGAAAATCCAGGAAGGGAAACCGAAAATAAGA